ACAAAGGTTCCAAATATAGAGCAAATAACAAAGGCGACATCGGGCATCCCTGCCGAACTGACGATTTGACCTCTATCGGGGCAGTTTGTTGTCCGTTCACTAACAGCCGAGCTGTGATGTCTTTGTAGCAAATTTTTATGTACTTCGTTAGCCTTTCTCTTAGGCGGCATCGTTCAAGAAGCGCAAAAAGAAAGGACTGTGACACTCTGTCAAACGCTTTGCTGAGGTCTACTTGCAGTACTCCAATTGGGTGCTGTTCCGCCTCCGCTGTCTCACATATGATTCTCATTGTGTGCGCATTTGTAGTGATGGATCTGCCTTTAAATCCGTAGGGCGGGTGCTCTCCTACGGTGCCGCTTATTCCCACCTCCAGACGTTTGGTAAGAATTTTCGCCAGAATCTTGTAGTCTGTGGACAGTAGACTGATTGGTCTTAGCTTGTCTACACTAGTGGCACTGGAGGCAGTGTTTTTCTTCGGGATAAGCACATTCAATGCTTGTCGCATCGACGGTGGCAGCAAATTGCGTTTTAAAATGTCTTGATAGACGGCCCGAAGCAGCGGGACTAGCAGATTCATGAACTTTTTATAAAACAGTGATCCTAGGCCGTCAATTCCCGGTGACTTCCTTACTTTAAGAGCTTTAATCGCCTCTTCAATTTCTTTTTCCGTAATTTCACTGTTTATTCTTTCCGAGATCTCTAAAGGAATTTCAGGCATAACTTCCAAGAATCTCTCGAAACAGATCCCGCTTCCATATTTTTGCCCTCCCAGTAGTTTTGTGAACGTGGCGACCAATTCTTTTTCTGTTCGCTCTTGCTCCAACACAATCTCATCTCCAGTCCGTAGCGATGTTATTTGGTTGCGGCGTACGTGCAAACGTTCTTTAGTTTTGAAGATTTTAACCGGTTTTTCTTCGAGCTGTAGCGCTTGCAGCCTACATCGCACCATCGCTCCCTGGTACGTTAGACCACGAGCGCGCTGCCTTCTTGGTCAGCTGCGCTCGCGGCAATATTTTCCAAGCGTTGGGGCGGGCGGTACTATAGTTAGGATTGCTGTGCTTTTTTTTTAATTTGAAAAAAATTTGAGGGGTCAAAATAGCAACCGTGTCTCCTTGCGGCCCTTATATGTGAACAGGTTTAAAAGGAACGAGGAGGAACTGTCAGGATGTGCAAGTTTATTACAGAACTGGGAATGCCGCTGCCGCGACTTGCAGTAGTATACCGGATCACTAAAGTGACAGAGAGTCTGACACATATATGTCTAGAAATTGTGGGATTCGCCCTTTTGGGGGGTTACCACTTAGAAACACAAAGAGTTCCTTGGGTCCGCATAAAGACATGTTTATTGACTGCAATGTCAGCACGCTTCGCTCTTAGACAATGAAAAGTCTGGGCGCTGGCTCAATTGCCAGTATCACCCGGTCGGTTTCCCGCGCTGCCGCATTAGACAGATTCACGGGAAGTCGGAGGCCCACAAAGAAAAACCGAGCTCTGTAGAGCCAGGGCCTCCGCCGACGAGAGCCCCTGGCCCACCTTCGGGGCCAGCTTATGTAGCCTCGGAGAATGGACGTGCCCGGGGAGGCCACTAGCAGTTGCGTCCATCATAGCTCTCAAGGGTGTGCCGAAGGCGCGTTCACACAAATGGGCAAGGGAGAGCCGGCCCCTTCGGGGAATTCGGCCTCGTGGTTCCTTGTATCCGGGAGGCCGACGCCATTGGTGACGACGACTCCCACGGCCTGCTTGAAGCTAGGCCTGGATAGGGATAGAGGGAACCCAATGGTTCCCACACTCCCCCCTTCTCAAGGCTAAGGTAGGCCTAAAAATAAAATGGCCTACCGGCTCTCAAAAACAAAATAAAAAAAACGAAACGCTAGAGCGAAGGAGCATGCCGCGAAGAAAAACAAAGAAATAAAAAAACGATCAGCGCGGTACATGCTGAAAACTCTAGCTCGCTGCTTGACAGTGGACCCCGGGAGCAGCCGAACTCTGCAGCCCACGCTTCTTGGCAGGCTTACCGGGAGTAGCGTTGCAAATGTCCGTGTAGTGGCATGGCTTGGGCAGGAAGGACGGCCCGGACACTCCACGGCGAAATGTTCGGAGGATCACGGAAAGTACGCTGGCTGGTCGTCTCTCCTTGGGGACGCACCATGTGGCACGGGCACTGTCACTGGGTCCGTGACGCGGATGCGAGCTGCTTGTCGGCACGGGCCACAGCTTGGGTCCGAGACTGGATGACACGTGTTGCTGGCCTGGGGACGAGTCCAGGCAGCGGGAGGGTAGCTGCCGCCACCTTGGCCAGCAGCCGAGGAGCCGGATCTGGACAGGCATGCCGGCGACGCTGCGGCAACGGCGACGATGACGCTCCCTGGCGTCGATGCCACCTCGATGTGGTCCCATGAGTCAGGAAACGCCGGCCACTGGAATGCGGCCTGCCTTCTGCCTCCCTCTCCCGTTTCGTTCCCCAAGAAGGAAGCTTCGGAAATTCCGAACAAAGTGGAGCCGTCCAACTGAGGACACTCGACCAATCTCTGGGTGCACAAGGCCCCAGAGATAAAAACGAGGCAGAGACACAGGTGTCTTTTTTGCCGTGAGTCACGTGCATCGCACTGGCTCGGCTCGCGAAGTTATAGTGAAAATAGTTCCACGACTCCGCTTAATGTTAACACGGATGTCCACATACCAAGCTGACTCGCATCACCCCGGACAATGGATTTGTTGGTGACAGTTCGACGAGGCAAAGTCCTTTGTAGCTGCTTTTGCTAACGATGCCTAATCGCTTCGATTTGCGGGCACAATGAAATCTCAAATGCGCCACCCTGTCCTTTCTTGTGATATTGAAACGATGCAGGGCTGCAATCGGGCAGGCTCGCCAACATTGTTATTTTTCAAACATGTTTAGCCTTTACCTTAGGCTAAAACACAATTGCCCGTGGCCAGGTATAGCACAGCGACCTAACTTCGAAAAGTCTTGGAGCCGCGTGCTGCCCTGGCCAACGCGAACAAAGGAGAGCACCGAATTCCCAGCCGCGCGGGACAGCCCCCTTGAACTGCAATGTTCGTAGAGGCCAAGCGCCGTAGCACGAGTTTATCCGCATCAGCAAGAACAGAAACCGATCCCAAATAAAAAAGAAACCCCGTGCCAATAGCAATACCAGACTATTTACGGCACCGATCGGCAACAACACGAGTTGCTCGACCCGGCGAGTACGCTGCCCGGCTGCCAAAGCCCGTCTGCAACAATACGAGTTGCTTAGCGACGTTAGTGGCGAGCGTACCGCCCGGCGGACGCACCGCCCGACTCGGCAGAGTCCGCGAAAGTATTTACAACTATTCCCATATTTACACCCCGGATCGTTCTGCTGAGCGTCAAAAACTCATCGGTGCTACCGTCGATTCCCAACGAACACCTCGAGTGCCGTGGTTCACGATCTCGTCCAGTGACCGCAAGGCGGTCACCTTAATCGGACACGCAATCATCTCGGGACGCTGTTCAACCTGTTGCACTGCCCGGTAGCGCGATTGAACTGCTCCCGGACCCCGCGGCGTTTTCATATTTAACGTCGCTTTTACGGGGTTGCAACTTGATAGGTGGCCCTCAAAGGTTCCTAACGTTATTGTTGCATGCGACGCTCACTGACTTTTGGCCGGAGTCGATCGCGGGTAAACGGAACATACTCAATTCTAGTAGCCGAAAACCATGCTCACGCCAGTCCTCTGTCCCTTGATAGCGGGAAGGAAAGACGGAGTAAAAAGGAAATCATTTTGACTCACTCAGTTTTCCCGGGGGGCCTTTGTTCCGGGGTCGCTTGGTCAACCTGATGGCTACTGGTCCGTCGACGCGGCGACGAAGGGCACCATCGGCGGTCTCCGCAACCTCGCTAGACTGGGACCGGTGTTGCAGGCACAGCGCATTTTCTCGCTCCGAGATACGCTTTTAGTTTGTGCGCTGACGGGGTGTCCACTCTGGGTGGGCCCCGCGAGCCGTCTCGAAGGCAAAAAGCTGCACTTGCTTCGTGTTGCGTCACCGTGCTTTGTTCGAGAACGGGGTTGACCTCGAAAAGCGCAGGTGCGCCTCCCCAGCGAAGTAGGCTGGCGTCGTCCCGAAAGGGAATGCCTCGGACGTATTCCGGGCGTTTAGTCACCTCCGTTTGGAAGCGAGCTCGGCTGAAAAGACACTGCATTGTGTCCGTGCGTGGCTGACGTGGCCACTAAGCCGTTGAGTGGCGTCGGGTGTCGGGCGTTCGCCTCTCCCTTTGTCCACCTGTTTGATCCTTGGCCGGAAATTGACCTGGTTCGCTATCTTAGCGAAAGGAGGTGGATGCTGCTGTCTTTGCAGTCCACGGAAAGCCGCACGTTGGGCGCCAGATGTGGGATTCGCCCTTTTGGGGGGTCCCACTTAGAAACACAAAGGTTCCATGGGTCCGGATAAAGACGTGTTTATTGACTGCAATGTCAGCACGCTTCGCTCTTAGACAATGAAAAGTCTGGGCGCTGGCTCAATTGCCAGTATCACCCGGTCGGTTTCCCGCGCTGCCGCATTAGACAGATTCACGGGAAGTCGGAGGCCCACAAAGAAAAACCGAGCTCCGTAGAGCCAGGGCCTCCGCCGACGAGAGCCCCTGGCCCACCTTCGGGGCCAGCTTATGTAGCCTCGGAGAATGGACGTGCCCGGGGAGGCCACTAGCAGTCGCGTCCATCATAGCTCTCAAGGGTGTGCCGAAGGCGCGTTCACCCAAATGGGCAAGGGAGAGCCGGCCCCTTCGGGAAATTCGGCCTCGTGGTTCCTTGTATCCGGAGGCCGACGCCATTGGTGACGACGACTCCCACGGCCTGCTTGAAGCTAGGCCTGGATAGGGATAGAGGGAACCCAATGGTTCCCACAAAATATTAACAGCTGGATGATCCTACCTAGGTCAAGCTGATACTGGCGCGATGACATGAGCTGTAGAATTGTCACGACGGAACCGATCAAGGTTAGAGCACCAATGCTTATTTTGAAATCAAGTCTTCGTAGTGACCGCTGCTTTTCCCGATTCAACTTGCACTTGGGCCTTTCTTCTGCGTTGCGCTATTTTATTTATAAAGAACCTTGCCTCCCAGATGAGCACGTAGATGAGAGATACAATTGCCATGATTAGCATTACACCGTCGTAGGATCCATGCTTGTCTCGAAAGTATCCTGCAAAAACGGGAATAAGATAATTGTCAACATTTTCATTTCTGCGTCTCGCAAGTCCAGGTAGACTTGCGGACGGTATAAAAAAGCTCCGGCGAACTCGTGCCTTAGAAGGCCTGCCGCACAATCTCTGACAAGAAAGCTCAAACATTATCGAGGCTTCAGCGGCTGTTCAACTTATATCGTAACTCCCCACTGGATCAGCTGTCGCCAAGATAATGCTGATTTCAGCGCCAAATGTATACGTTCCGTACTCTCAGAAAAAGACAGGGTATTCTTACACCCTTTGCGCCATAAAAGACACCGCAAAACTTCAGTTCGGTGTACAGCGCCCTATAGTCGAATAGACGGCTCCAAATTTGACGAGGGGCTTGATAGCCGTGTTGTACAACTTAATAAAATAGCTCATGTACGTGTTACTGACTACCAAAAAAAAAAAATAGTCGGGGTTTTCTTGGCCGACAAAACCCCGACTATTTTTTTTTTTGTAGTAAGTAATACTACCTAACTGCAAAACCACAGTGTTTTCTTTATGTGGTCTTTGATACGTACTTTAGATTTTTAATAATTTATATTGCACCGTTACCAAGCCCCTCGTAAAATTTAGGGCCCTCTGTTCTGCTATGGTGCGCTGTACATTGAACTGATATTTCGAGGGACAGGACAAAAAGGTGTGAAATAACACCTTTTTTTTTCTTTTTGTGAGTGCGGGACAAAATGGGAAGTGTCAAGTGTGACTGAAACCAAAGGGAGGACAGGTTGAGCGATCAGTCTTTTTGGGCGTTTGACAATAAGTTCGCGGGACAAATTACGAGAAGCGCGTTTTATTCTATTTCACTGAGCACTGCTACTACAGGTGTTACCTTGGAAATCGTTTGCCGTGCAAGTGGAGAATAAGGAAAAAAATCGGACAGCCACTGAAATGCCGCTCGTTCAGATCATAGCCTCGACGATAACTCAGCTTCCTTCCGTCTGATAGCACTGGAGGACCTCGTGGCCACGCGCTCGCCTAGGCTTCATTATCCAGTCCACCAATGAACACATATCAGTATCGCCCCCTTTTAGTGAAATATGAGAGGCTATACTTTCTCCCAGGATTAGTACTGTACAAATCAAACTCACTTGTGATATGCACGAGGCACATTTAATGCCCCTATTTAGCCTGAACAACTACGCAAAACTTCTGAAAAAGTGCCGCATCATTCGTTGCCGTTTCAGCGTAGACGTGGAAGGCATCTTTTTAGCTTCTCTACACTAACTTACAGGCAGAAAAAACACATACTATTTGTTTCTAACATGCACTCTAAAAAAAGCCTCTATTCTTACACCCCTTGTTCCATATAAAACACCTCGAAAACTCAGTTCCACGTAGAGCGCACTGACGTTGAAACGACGGTACCAACTTTCACGAAAGCCTGCATAGCCGAGTGGTACAACTTATTAAAACAGCTAATGTACGTTTTACTCAGTACAAAAAACAATAAAAAATCGTTTGTTCTTCGCCCTGCTGCAAAACCTTAGTTTTTTTTGTTTTGTTTTGTAGTCTTTGATAAACACTTTAGCTATTTCATAACTTATATCGCAGTGTTATCAATCTCCTTGTAAATGTTAGGCCGTCTGTTTGACATGAGTGCGCTGTGCGTCTAATATAAGTTTTGGGGTGCGTTATATGGAACAAAAGGGCGTAATCACCATCTTTTTATAAGTGTGGAGCCGCTTTTGATAATATCCTATTTTCCTAGACATTTATGCAGGCATACTTATATACACGATACCTCAGTCACTCGTGTTCCTTTAGTAAGTTTTGCACATGAAGAAAACGGCGTCACCACCAAATGATCATTCAGTCTTAGTTGCAAAAGGGCGCCCGTGGCCCACTTTGGTCACTAAATATGCGTTACGATTGGGTCATGATACCAACCGCCGTTCTCATGGCTGTAACTGATTGAATGCAACACCAGACGGTGGGTTTGTTAAAACATCAACGATGGCTGGTTTTAGGCAAAGATAGCTTTCAGGTATCCATGCATTTACTTGCGTGGATACCTCACTTTCAGTCTCATGTATGATTAACTTAGACCAGTAGCGCATTCAATGAGACCACTAGAGCTTTCAATCATCTGTTCATATTCCACAGAAATCTTGATTACAATTTTTTTTTAATTAAACAAGCGAGGCACCGCGCATCCTGCGACGGAAGGGCGACTGACGCGAAGAGGAGCACTATTGCTGCTTGTGCAAGCGTTGTGTTCACGAAGGATACCTTCGGGAACACAGCAAGCAGCAGTAGTGATGCTGCTCGTGTACTGGAACACACGTTCACAGCCTGGGAGAAATTCAAACTTTCCAGATTAACAGATTTTCGTAAAGGAAAACCATTTTCGGTGAGATTCGAACCACGTACATTTGTGAGGCAGCCACAGCGTTGGCAGCACCGCCACGCACGCGGCAATGTGACACGTGTTTCTACACATAGCTGTATATTCACAAACCGAATAACTCTATAAAATGAAGTTTAAATGAAACTGAGTGGTCTTCATGTTGGTTTGGCGCTGTGACACCTCCGGGAGAAAGGAAATAGTCCAAGCAGAAAGATATACTCTTTTTGAATTCATATCTGTCCATGCTTGCGCGAGGCGCATAACGGTGAATAAATTTTGATAATGGCCCACTTTTTTCTCAAATACAAGTTCAAAAGACGGCCGCGCTCTTTAATATAAGTATGGCTATAACTACCGTTTAAGGACATATACGCAGCAACCGTATGCAGCAGCCATCTATTAAAGACTTACAGTTGTCATGCAAAACGTAACCTCTAAAAACGCTATAGGAAACTCTGGAGGCCATTGGCAAATGCCATCGCAAATTCTAATGGTTTCCCTAAAATGAAGGCCATCATATTAGTGAATTACAGCATTCGATGCTTGACATGATCCAAAGCATGATACAGCTAACTTCATAAATTAATTTTCTACGTTAGCCGTAGGGAACCTGCTTACGCACTGCCCTGCTCTCATCCGTTGCCACAAAATATGACCCGCCAAAATAGATCGCTGTTAGCCAAGGAAAGTACTGGGTGTTCGTGAGAAATCGGATCCGTGCTTTTCGCACTGCAAACATAAACTAGACATCGCGGAGAGCTTAAACTCCGCCAGAACGTAGCCCCACCCGTTAAAGCAAGATGCTAAAATTTCAGCACCAACCGTCATCTTATTTAAAAGTTATAAGTGATCTTTTGAAATTTTTAATGAGAAATGGATCCCATTTTAGCCCGTTGGCGGTTTCTGGCGCCATAAAGCTCTATATATTTGAAAGCTCCGTCGGCCGCCATTTTTTCATTGAAATTTTCAGAAAATCGCTAATATCTTTTGAATAAGATAACGGTTGCTGCTGAAACATCGGCATCTTGCTCGAACGACTGGGGCTACGTTTTGACGGAGTAGGAGCTCCCCGCAATGTCTAGTTTATATTTGCAGTGCAAAAAGCCGGGTCCGGATTTCTCACAAACACCCGGTATATCAAACAAAGACATCTCCACACTGTCTTACGCTATCGAGCGCTACTGGGCTCAATTGCTGATTGAACAGTATTTTCGAAAAATTGCATTACCCTGTAGTAGTGCTTCTGCCGTTGGGGAAGATTAAAAAGTGTTACCTGGTCAGACTGTGCTACAGTAGTATAAGCATGCCTTTCCACTTCGTTCTTATTCAATTGTAAAACCGTTTCGGGCGCAATGCGTCTAACGATAATTAGATGAAACGAACTGACGTTAGGAAAGGGGAGAATAGCCAGCCTACTTGTCTGAAGCGTGATTATTCATTATTTCTTAAACTACTCAAGTACTTACCAACGAGCGGGGCCCTCAGCCAGCTGTTGAGCGAGCTTACGACACCCAAACCACCGATCATAATTGGAAGAGCCTCCACACCGAAGTCCAAGATGAGCATGATGGTCCCCAAAGACATTCTTAAGCCGATGCTTGCACCCAGCAGGAACGAAGCGGCCACAAGGGCGGGCAAACCGACGCCGTAAACCATGAAGACAAAGCCGATTCCTTGCACGAAAAATCCGAGCCCCATTATGCTATTCACGCTTAGCAAACCAGCGTCCACAATCCAGCCGTTGAGCGCTCGCATAACGACGTCGCCCACGCTGAACGCATGAAAGAGGTAGACGGAGTCTGCGGTCGAAACTCCGCGATCTTTTGCAAGGTCCACCACAAGCATGACGAACACGGCGTATGACATGTAAGCCACTCCGAAGGACGTGGAGTCAACCCAGAACCTGAGTGTGAGGAAGTTCTTTGCGGTGATAAACAAGCTGTTGTCCGTCTTAGTATTGGTAGAGAGAGATGTCTTCGAGGGCTTTGTCGTGCCATTGTTGCCAAATTTAAGGTTGTTAGCTTTGCCATCATTTGTGAGCGAGACATTCTGGTCGGCATGCTGCAAGGCCTGATTGCTTACGGGTCTTGGCGTTAATCGTTGGCGGGTTGGGTCTGCCCACGGTGGGCTGCGAAGGATGATCGCAGCGGGGAAGGCGTTCAGGGAGATGGCACCAAGAATGAGCAGGGCTCCTCGAACCCCATATTCGGTGAGTGAATGTTCAGTTATTGGTGGAACAAAAAAAGTGTTTAGTCCCGCTAGAGTGTAGAATACGCTGAACGCCGTGGCACGTCGCTTCTCGAAGTACTGGGCGATGACCACGTGCAGTCCCACCATGAGGCCAGAAAATGCAATACCTGAAAATGTGGAATAAAATTTTACCGATATTTGTCGAATGAAGGTTGTTTAATTTAATTTTTTAAGGTAATATTTCTGGAAAGAAATACGGTTTATAGTATATGGCAACACACATAGAAAGTGAATAGGATACCCTCTTACAAAGATTTATGGTCGCCATTATCGGTGGCTTCCTCCTCTCCAATCTACCCCACTTTTTTCTAGATTTAGTTGTACTCAAGTTTAAACCACGGACAACTTTGTGGGAAAAGCATTGAAGGGAAACTGAGTAATAATTTTAAGATGGAGGACAGGGCAAGTTGGCTATTCATACTGGTAATTTACAGCGCACAAGAACCATTCACACTCAACCACGCATACCAGTAAAAGTGAGTCACTCATTCAAAGCTGAATGAGTGATTCTTTTTTTTTTTTTCGTTTTACTTGTTCGCATGGTCGAGTGTGAATTGTTCTTGGGCGCTGCAAATTACAATTATGCATGACCATTATTTAATAACTCGAATCGTGGGATGGTTGGCGCAATAGATTTGCCGGTAGTTCAAGGAGTTTTGGAGATCGTCATTGGTCGTTACTCTGAAAACACCTACAGATAAACTTATATTTATGCACTGACTAGATAATATTACATAGTTTTCTTTTTATATTGGACACCGTGGTTTAATATTAGATACAATGTTTCCAGATTTAGACATTTTAGTAAATCTCAACAACTCGTTAATGTAGCGAATTTTCCAACCTTGAGTTGCTTTCGCTGTTTTTGCGTTTAAAATCAAACAATATATGCCTCCCTTGAAGGCTTGTTGAAATATGAGTTAAAACAATTACTCTACCTTTCTGTATAAATGATACGTAGTCACATCCCTTTTGTACTGACTAAGGGTAATGCATTTTTTATGTAAAATATCTAGACCTATTTTGCATATATCATAATACTAGCGCGCAAGTGAAGCACCCTCGAACCGGTGCATTTTTTTCTTGCCTGCTGACACAGGGTATGCAACCGCCAAGAGGGGGGGCGAAAAGGCTTAGAAGTGGACGTCGAGAGGAGTTAGCTCCGGAGTGTTTATTTTTACTGTTTTACAGGTTCCAAAAATCGCCGGTTGTCTGGCTATCACTGCATCGTAATCGGGTGTACGAATTTTATTAGGCATAAGACTAATAGCGGAAAGTGTGCGATGAGCACAAGGCGCTGCAACGCAAGTGTGGCTGCAATGTTATTGAGCTTCGCATGTTCCCCGAGGGTTTTTACTTACACTCTCAGAAAAAAAGGAGCCAAATGAGCAAAAAAGGGTTCTTTTCTCTAAAAAAGAACGGAATTCGGGGAAGATCCCTTAGAAGCGTGCTTTCTCAACCAAAAGCACCCCTCGCAAATTAAAAAAAGAAATGCAGAGCTAGTTTCCGGCCTGGAAAGAGCGAAAAGGTGCTTGTTGCAGCCAGGAAAGAGATAAAGCGTTCTTTGGAAAAAGAAGGTTACTTAAGTCTTCTACCGGATAGAGGAACACAATGACCAGGCTCGAAAGGCTTTGCACGCGGGAAATTGGGTGCACCATTCTGTGGAAACAAAGCTGCCCGTTTGAGCTGTCAAGTCCTTGAAAGCTTAGAGAGGTGGAATGCCGTAGTTATTTACCAAGTCGCGTGCAGTTTGATGCCGAGATAATCTTCGCCTCCGACCACAGATGAAAGAGGCTTCGATGCCTTTGACTCCCGGACCACCTGCTTCAGCGGTCTGAACACTGGCGTTCGTTTGCAAGCGTAACTGCTCGCCGTGTTTTATTTAGTAAGAAATGTTAGTATAAAGCTACTCTTTGGTACTCATTTGTATAAACCAAACGGGTCATTGAATTAAAGTTTATTTGAAGAAATCTGTACCTGGGGAAATCGATTGTGAACTTTATTTCCCCCCACCCAAAAAAAAAAAAAATGCATACAAATTTTTAAAGGCGCAAAACTTAGATGAATGAGCAACACACACACAAAAAAGTGCGTGGTGCGTTGAATGAGTGATACGGTGATTAAGCGGCGTCGTGTTTTTTTAGTAACAAGAGCCATTTTTTAACTTCCTTTCGAGTTTAAACAACATACGTATAACTGCGCGTATGAATAAAAAAATTAATAAAACAGAAGAACGTTTTTTTTTTTTTTTTTTTTTTTTTTAGTATAGAATGCAGTTGTTTTAGCTTGTGGTGATGAGTCATGACACCACCCGTCTCCCAAAACGGCGCCTCTGATTGTTTCGCGGCACGCGTCAAGTCGCAAAAATAGACTTGGGACCCATCCACGAGTGGCATCAAAAATCTTGCTGCGCGGAATCAAAATCGAAAAACCACCATTTACAGGCCGATTTATTTTTGAAGAAAAGATGACTGATACACATCACTTGAACCAAGTGATGTGTATCAGTCATCTTTATCTTCAAAAATAAATCGGCCTGTAAATGGTGGTTTTTCGATTTCAAGGAGCAGTTATGTCTAGAAGGATACCCCGAAATAATCCCATAGGCATATTCTATAAGTGTGTTTTGGGTGAAGCAAAACTAAACTTCAATATGTTGTGCGTTCAAATTTATATGTAATAACGCAGTGTAAAAAATGAGTGCTCCGTCCGCCGGTGAACCCCGCTCGCTACTTCGAGGTCGCCCACCAAAAGTTAGGAGAATGGGATGGCATGAGGAAAAAAAAAATAACACAGAAACGTAGTCGTTACTGTTCTCGTAGTTTTCGCGAGCAATATGGCATGGTAGGATGCAGAACAGAATGGCCTCGGACGAAATGGCCCTGGACGAAACGGCCCCGGACAAAATGGTCCCAAGTGCAATCCCGGAGAGAATGGTCCGAAGTGATTCTTAGACACTCATCTTTTAATAAGGTGCTACTCTGAAGTTCTATTAAGTACATTCAATGCTCTTATAATGCAACTTTTGTAGAGACTATAAAAAAATAAAGTAGCTCAATATAGACGCGACAATGTTGGAGAAACACACACACACGGCAGGCACCTGTCTCGTGTGTGTTTTTTTTTTTCGACTTTGTACCGTTTATTTGCACTCTTTTTCATTATGCCGATCAACCAACTAGCCCAACAATCTATGTTACTACTTGATACAACTCTTTCCGATCTCCAGCTCGAAGCTTTAAATTGATGCGGTACAGTTACATTTTGTGAACTTAATGTTTTACTTTAAAGGAGTTCCCTCGATAGTTCAACAGAGCTACAAGAAGACGTTTTGAGTGAAGCCATACGTAGCACACATTTACAACTAGTTTCTTCGTGTAATGAAATGTTTATTTCACAAAAAAAATGTATATGTATATTGCATTATGCGAATATTTATCCCTTTATATGTTGGGATTGTACCAATTAAAGCTAATAAAAACAAGGAGCAAGAAAAAATACGAAAAAATTTATTTGAACTATTTTGTCCGAGTTTACTATTCGAACAATTTTGTCCGGGGCCATTTTTCCGGTTTTCGGGCTGGATTTGTGTTTTTGATTCCCTTTTCTAATGTAAAAAGGGTAAGCGCCGACTGCACGCCCAAGGATTTGTGTGACGTAGCGCTTAACTGAGCTAATATTTGTTCAGAAATTGCAATTGACGGTTCGAAGGTCGTTCCGATTGGAATAAAAATTATTTGTCAACGACATCTATTCGCTCTGTCTAATTGCTTTATTATCACTTCTCTTTCCAGTTCCAAAATAGGCTCGATTATTGTTCAATCTTGTTTTCCAGGCCTCTATTTTGGTAAATTCCTATACAAAACGCGTCGCTGACTGGACACTGAATCATCGAATCTAGGTGCGTTGTCGTATTGCCGTCACAAAAGTCGCTCAGCCACGAAATAGGCCAACACGCGTTGCTCAACACAATTTGTTGCTTGTTTCCGTTGACGGAAGGTGTCACACCGAATCGAGAATTTCGCTCTTATTTATTTTGTGTTTCTTTTGGGCAAGAGAGTGAACTGCCAGTTGACGGACGTGCTCGGTGATGTGATCGCCATGTTTCCTGGCAGACAGGAACGAAAAAGCGATGACATGTGCATATTATCTTCGCCAGCGAACCATGGTTCGGACAGCTCAACGGCACCCCAGAAAATAAGCCATAATGTGTTCAAAAGCGACGTTTCGGGGGCTAATCTGCTCACCACTAGGCTGACAGTTCGGTGGAATCGTCATGCTCGTTCGACCAGTGAACCTTCTGTCTTGCACCACGTGATCAGAACCGCAGAGAAAGGTGTGAGGTGATAAAAACCAGGCGACTAATTGGTTCGGCAAGCACGTAGCTCCCACCACGCTGTCAGCTTAGCGGTGAACAGGGATGGGTTGCTGAAGGTCACTAGAGCCGACAGGATCTAGCTTCGTTGCTCGAGGGAGTGCCACACTCGCTCGTACGAGTGGCGGATCGGAACAATGTTTGACCTCCTCTCCCTTTGGGTTTGAAGCTCTAGAAGGAAGTACCTTCCTTCCTTTCCTTTTAGTCATCACTTGCAACATGTCAGCGGACGTGAGCACATGGGCGATTGGAGACGTCTGCAGGTGGCTTTTTGAAAACGAACTGCAATCGGCCTGTTCATCATTTCAAGGTAAAACTTCTTCTTAATCAGACATATTCGTAATTTCTCTTAAAAATTGCTATAAGTACAGTAGCGCTCAATATGGCAAGAAGGTGTTTGATGCATAGGCAAAATAAGTAGGACAGGGGGCGGCCTCTTATTAATTAAGCTACTTGTCGTTTGAATTTTTTTTTTTTTTTTGCTATTTTGGCTTGCAGTTGTCCAAACAAGCACGTTGCAAAAAAAAAAAAAATTATTTCGACAGTCTCGTATGTTGAACTACACAAGAGAAAAACGTTTTTGAAGCGAACACTGATCTCATTACTACAATACTGACTGTATATAATATGACAAAATACTGAGTTCAAGCTTTTCGCCAGAAAGATCTCAAGAACAGAACTTCGAATTTACAGCGCGAATGAAATGAGCAATGATAACTCTTCGTAAACGTA